TCTATCTATCTATCTATCTATCTATCTATCTATCTGGTATAGGATCTTGGTACATAGCTTGGACTCGTAATGATCTTCCTGTCTCAGCTTCTACAATGATGGGTTTCCAGGTGTGCACTACCACACCTGGTTTCAGTGGCTGGCATGGAGTGCCTGGAGTTTGGGGGCCATTGGGGCATGGGGTACCAAGGATTGAAGTTGGGTGCTTGTGCTTACCAGGCAAGTGCTTAGACCAGTGATCTATCTCCCCAGTCCCCAGAAGGCCATTTAACTAATACAAAAATTGGTCCACATCACCCATATTTAGCAACTTTGGAAAGTCAGGACTTAGCAAAGAGGTTAATAAAATACTGTACTTTCCACAGAGCCAAGACAGAGCTCTGAAATTCTACTTAGAAAATGGCACAGAGTTTTCAGGAAATACAAAAAATAGAGATACTGAAAATGTTGGCAAATGGCCGGCCAGATAGCTCAGCAGACGAAAGCTCCTGCTTAGGCAGAGCACACTACATGGGGTTTGATCCCTAGTGTGCCATGCTGTCCTTGCCCCAGGGCACACTGAGACAGAGATTGAGACTGGGCGTGGTGGTGCACACCTGTAATTCCAGCACTTGGGAGGCTGAAAACAGAAGAATTACTGTAAGTTCGATCTGTGTAGTGAGACCCTGTAGAACCTGTATACCCTGTACTAAATACATAAAAAAAAAAAAGATTTGTTGGCAAATCTCTGCTGATTTGGATATGGCCTGAAGAAAGGTACAGCCTCTTCTTATACAAGTTAATCCTTTCAGATTCATCTTTTTTTTTTCTTTTCTGTATTTAGGACAGGGTGTACAAGGTGAACAGGGTCTCACTGCATAAACCAGATGCATAGTGATCCTCCTGTTTACAGCCTCCCAAATTGTAGGATTACAGGCACACACTACCACGCCCAGTCTCAATCGCTGTCTCAGTGCACCCCGGGGGCAGGGCTGGCACAGCAGGCCAGGGGATCAAACTCCTGGCCCCTATGTCTTCCTAAGCAGGCATTCAGATTCATCTTTTGACTGAAAGTGTTCTTTCAATTTCTATTATGGCTAGTTCAGACCCATAAGTTGCAGGGAACAAATTAATTAACATCTATTTATTTCCCTGAAATATATATCCTGCTGTAGGTTTTCCTGCTCACCATCTTTTAAAAGATCTAGGAAAAGACTAAAAGTGTGCTATAATGGTGCTAGCTTTGGCACTGAATTAAAATGAGTCTGGAGAGAAAGAGAAAGTACCCACATAAATATTGCCTTCAACTAAGAAAGACTAGGTCACGTGTGTGTTCATTTTTTAAAAATGGACTAAACTGTTATGTGTACTTTTTCCTGTATAATCTAAGATGGCATTCTGGGGGGCTGGCATGCATTTCATCTGAGGCCATAGGGGTGATATTTCCTGCTGCTTCTTGTTCATCACCACAGGCCATGAATGGAACTGGGTGGCTTTGTAGTCAGGGCTATATCTGTGGCACAAAAGAGGGATTATCTTCTCATAGCATCTACATGTTTTGTGTGTATAATCCCATGGAAAGCAATAACAGGATTCAGAAAGACTTTTTGAGAAATGGCATGTTAGACACTGATGTGGCAGAGGATTCTCAACTCTTCCTTCTAGCTCTGCCAGGACACTCTGACAAGGGCCTACATGCACCACCCTGACCAAACCAAACCAAACCTCTCCACTCTCCAAATGAATGAGTACACACTAGTTTCTGCAAAATTTGGGGTAGTCTTAAAATAAGGCCCTTCATTATGAGTAATTCTAATTTCTCATTTTTTATAATTTATCACACATAAGTATCAAAATGCTAACATTTATTAACATTCTTCTCTTGTTCTTTTCTCATGTTCATGTGTCAAGAAGATACAAATGTTTCTTGTGGCCTGGCTGCATCAGCACTGTAAGGATGGAGTCTACTGTAGCCCAGGTACAATTTTCTTATAGATGAGGTGTGGCTCGGTTGCAGAGCAGGAGAGGCCAAAGCTTGTAAGACTCACTAAGCCTGTTTTGCCACATTCATTACTTCCCAAGACAGTGTTTCCCTGATTATAGTGTGCAACACTATAATCACTTGCCTGCAACACTTGCCTGTTTCTCCAGCAGGATCTGCTGGATCAGCCCTATTGCCTTGCCCAAGGATGAAACCAACCCTGCTGGGATAGTGAGGTATATTAAAAGGGCTGACAATTGTCAAAAGCCTAAACCCTGAGATTGGGCAACTATGCAAAAAGCTCTTTATTTAGTAAGAAAAAGAATAGAGAAGGGGGGAATGTATGAATAAAAGACTGATGACTTTCGCCAATAGCATTAAACATTTTAAAAAGACAATCCAGGAAAATAGCACACTCGTGCTCCCCATTCTTACCCCTACACTGGACTGTACAGGATCCTTTTGGCATTTCTACCTTGCAGAATAAATCATATGGTGATACTTTGCTGTCTAAGGGAAAGAAAACCCTTTCAATCACACCTTACTTCATCAGGACCTGGTATTGCACATATTCACAGTTACGTGCAGCATACACAAAATTCCTTTATAAACCTATGTGTCAGTGATACAAACAGAAGAATATTAAAAAAAAAGATCTGTTTACAAAGATTAGGTTATTTTCAATGTAACTGGAACTCAAATTTTGCTTTAAAATACTTGGGCTGAAGTTGTTTCTATTTTCTGTTTCCATGTTTTTTAAACAAGGTTATTTATTTATTTATTTATTTGGTACAGGGTCTTGCTATGCAGCTCAGACTTATAGTGATCCTCCTGTATCAGCCTTTCCAGTGCTGGGATTACAGGCATATAACACCACACACCTGGTGTTGGTGTCCAGCCTGGCACATCTGGGGTTCTAGGATGTGCCAGGAAGCAGCATCAGGGATCAAACCCAGGTTCTTGTGCTTGCCAGGCAGGTGCTAAGATCACTGAGTTATCTCCCCAGCCCCTGTTCCTATTGTTTTAATCCTGAGTATGTGAAGGCTATTTAGAAGGTAATGTCCTAATATTAGACAAACAACTTCTTAAAAGGCTTAAACTATATGTCTTAAAATATATTACTCCATTGCATGAGCAAAGATATCTAACAAAACAACAGAAGTTCAGTTTTGTTAACCATTTACTCCTTTTGCAGAGAAGCCAGGAACTAAGTTGGAGCTGAATTACCAGGTTCAAAAAGAGCTGAATAATGGTGTCAAAATAGTATCTGAGAAAAATCCTATGGATTCACCTCCGTACAGCCAGATTGGAGCATTTTATAAGCATAAAGTTTCCTTAACACTAAGTGACAACATTTATCTAGTGGCCTAAGTTTTCCACTCAAAAGACCATTCTGTGTTCATGAACAGGAAATGAAGGCTGCATAAAACAGATTGTTCTACACTTATAGTGTCCATGTAGAGAAACTGAAGGTGATGGGCAATTGGAAACAGCAGGTTAGCCAATAGGCAGCTGGAATCCATTATCCAGGTTTTCTCTATCCTTAGGCCACATTCTTCTTTAGGTATGTGACAAATGTCTTTAGTAAGAGGATTTAGTGAAGCACCATGCAGAATGTCAAATAAGCAATATCTAATGTGGTCATCATCAGGTCATTCTTGCCTGGCCTGGCTATTTTAAACAAAACCTTAAAACTCAACTAAGAGGATAAGGTCATTTCTTGTAGAATCTGTTGTGACAAATAGATATTTGCTTGTTATGATCTTCTCCTTGTTCACATCTTGATTACCAGACTATGTGCTATTTATCTGAACCATGCTTCTATCCCTCCTTCACTCCCAACTGCTTCTTTAGCTCTGATGTTCCATTTGGGCTCATTTAGTCAGCATTACCTTTGCCCACCTACATGAAAAGCACAAACGTGGCAATCTCTTACTGAAACCACACTTGAACATCAGTGTGTTCCAACTTGCTGACCCAGATCTCTGGGCACAGGTAAAGACAGTGGTGGGGATACAGTTACTGAGAAACTTGCCAGGTTGTATTAGCACAGTATACTGTTTATATTATTTCCCTGATTTATTTTCTGATATATTAAAATCTATCTATAATTCCTACACAAATGAGATTTACTCAAATATGTGCCTCAAATATGCAGGCACATATATGAGTATATTTCTGCCCTTAAGCAGCAAGTTCTCATGAAGCAATTCTCTTCTAGGAAATATGATGGAAAATGTACAAAAAGGCATCTCTATGAGCAATTACATGTTGGTTCCTACATACAGCCTTCACAAAGCTCATCTGGTGGACTGTCAATGTGATGTAGAGGTTTCTGGAAAAAACCAAATGCTTATAGAAGTGAAAGCACCCCAGTCAGTATTTTATAATCAGCAATGTGGCTTGGGATTCAGAGGCATTTAATGATAGCTCTGGACATCACCTTCCTAACCAGTCTCACTCCCCTTCCCCAAGTAGTTCTGCCTACCTGGCATGATAACATCAGGAAATCCCAACTTTCTTGTAATTGCTACTCCCCTACTAAATATCATGGGATTTTCTCTCCGAATTTGGTCCATGTCTCCACGAAGAAGCTGCAGAGAAATAATAAGACCTGAAAAACAAAAATATTTTCATACTCTGTTATGAAATGCTAGAAATATTTTCCATACTGTTGTTAAGTACTAGAAAAAAGAGAAGAGTTTAGTATTCTCCCCACATCCTTCCTCTCATTCCTTCTTTTTTTGTGATACTGTGGAATGAATCCAGAGTCTCAAGCATACTAGGCAAGTGTTCTACCACTGACCTTCAGCCTCAGCTGTGGTACTTCTCTTGAAAAAAATTTTGGTACAGAAAGTATCTGAGGTAATATTCCAAAGTATTGTAAAGAAAGCATTTTGAAGAAACATTCTAGATAGATAATGAACTTAAGTTAAGGTGACCTCAAAAGTTTATATAATTAGTCTATTAAACATAGACTAACATCAGAGAGACAGAGAGACAGAGAGAGAGAGAGAGAGAGAGAGACAGGCAGATAGACAGACAGACAGACAGACAGACAGACAGACAGACAGACAAAGAGAGTTGCATTTTTCTGTGTTCCCCAATATTCAGCCATGGTCTGCTTTGATGCCAGTGAATACACAATGAGAGGGCTGAACTACCTAAATTCAGGAATCAAGTGTGATCAATAAGAAAACCTGTGTTAGAGTGTCCCACATGCTGGAAATGAGTTAAGATGTACTGTGTCTTGTGCTAGGAGTATGCTAAAGTGATGTGGTGGAATGAATCCAGAGCCTCAAGCATGCTAGGCAAATGTTCTACCACTGAGCTTCAGCCCCACCTGTGGTATTTCTCTTGAGGAAATTTTTTCAGCCTTGTCCTGGCTTGTAAAGAAAGCAAAAAACAGACATTACATCTTCCCTTCAGTGAAATACTGCACCTCAAAGAAAAGTCATGGTGCTTTTATGGAGCTAATTAACCCTCATCTCAGACCTTATGAGAATTTCAAACCCTCCAGATAAAATTTGTTCAGAACTTGGGAGAGTAATTTCCCCTCAGGTTAGGTGAAATCTGGCTCATTATTTGTACCTTTGAAGCTTTTCAAAGTTAGAAATTCTGAAACATTTCCTTCTATTTCACCCTTTTAAGGGTCCCCACTGCAGCCACTGGCTATGAGAAATAAAATTTATATGGAATTAGAAAATATCATGTCTGAGACTATGATTGAACCATTAACAAGATGAGGAATTTAGGTGCTGTTCTATGGATCAGAGGTAAGTACACTCAATGACTTAACTTGGGAGTTGAACAGAAGATGAACACCTGCAGAAACGAGGGAAGGTGTTTCTATAATGAATCCTCTGTGGATGGAAAGGGAAGGGATAGAAAAGTAGAGAAAAAAAGGCACATAGCAGTCACCACAGACATTTTATGTGGCAGATACAAATAGTTAAGAAACTAGGAATGTGTGTGTCCTCACACTTAAGCAAAGAGAGGAGATATGATTCTGCTGCAGTACAAAAAGAAATGATTCTCAAAGTTCATGTCTTCCAATAAATGCTGGAATTACACAATTATATCCTAGGCATAATTAAAACTGGGATCATAGTGTTTTGCACAGCAAACATCCTATTCTAGTTTTGATTGACAATCCAGGTTTGGGATTTTGACCATTCTAACGTAATTTTTTAGGCTAACAATGGGGTGAACTAAACTACAGTTAGTTTATGAACCTGAAAGGCTGGGGGTGAGAACAAAGACCACAATGATCTTGGCAGAAGGATGTAACCTGGGATGCATCTTTCACTTTTTCACAACACCAATTCATTCATCTTTGTTGTCTTCATATAACTCAAAATGTATCCACCAGGTAAAAAGGAATCTTCTGGGATAGGAGACAGCTCAGCATGAACAAAAAGCTGAGGATGGGGAATCATATGAATCTGAGAGATAGTGGTTGGAGGGCAAAGGAAAAAAAAAACACCTTTATCATTCTGTTGCCAAGAATTTAATCAAGTCCTATTGACTGCTTCTAGTCTCTGAATTTTCTGAGCATCCAAAGTAGCCTTGAGATGCAAAGCAAAACTTGTGAAGTTGTAGACCAAAGATTCTCAGAAGGTTGCAATTAGCTTTGGAGTTACCCAAAGAGATCCTAATCAGCTGATTTATTATTTTTTACTTTAAAGAGAAAAAATAACTTCAATATGAGATAATAAGAGGGTAAAAATGGTTAATACATTGTGTACCATTATCTTTAAATTAGTTACTAAGATAACTAGACGTAGTCATTTAACTGTCCAAACAATACTACCACAAACCTTCCTTTTCAATGAACTAAGAGAGAATAGTAGTATAGCTATTTTGTGTATATCTATTATACACACATTTTTCCTCCTCC